GTTCTTTTTTTGTGAATATTATTATCAGATTGAGGAGCTGTTCCAGATATAACTGGGCCCCGAGACCGCTGGAGAGCTAAGCATCAGTATCCGCCGGCACTTCTAGTCTTCAGGCGGAGATCATTGTGGAGGAGCTCGCTGCACTTGTCACTAAGTTGAACAGTGTTTCATTGAAATTACCGATTTCACCTTCTGCATTTATTTGCGAAAAAAGAAAGGAGAAAAAAGCAGTAGACAAAAATTGCTGTTTGTTGATTATTTGATTATAATACTGCGTCTCAGCGAAATCTAAAGTTTCATTTTGATAGTGGGTGGGTTATCTTTGTAGTAATGTTTTGTTTGATGGCACCGTCATATGCGGTTTTTTTTTTTTTTAATTTTTGCTTTTCAGCTGTGCGATTATGTGTATGAGTTGGCTACAACTTTCCACGATTTTTACAATGAATGCTATGTTATTCAGAAAGATATGGACGGTTTGTTTAAAATTTTCTGTTGATTTTTTGAAGTAATTTTGGGAGGAGGGAAGGGGGGAGGTAGGAGGAGTGAGGTGGTAAACGGATAAAAACTGTAAACATCCAAATATTCATTGCTTTTTATTTTTCCAGGTGCAGTAACTTTGCATTATCAACGATTGGTACTGTGTCAAGTAACAGCGGACGTAATGGCCAACTGCTTTAAAATATTGGGGCTGAGGACGGTGGAAAAAATGTGAAACCAGAACAAACATGTTAAGAGTGATGAGGAAATGATGACTGTCACTTCTGAAGCACAATGTGTAGAGCCCTTGCATGAGAAAAAAAAAAGAAATTTAGAGATTTAGATTCATTTTTAATAAAAAAAAAAAAAGATAATGCGAAATTAGTCCACAAGTAAATGTGGGAGGAGGAGGAACGAAGGGAGAGAGTGGGTCGCTGTTTATGAAGGTCACAGTTCAGGCATTTATGCGAGTCAAGTTAAAAATCAAGGGCATTTTAGCGAAGGCTCTGAAGCTAAGAACATTGCTTAAACTGGGAACGTTGAAATCAAAGTTATAGCTTTGCTGCTGTTGACGTGCTTTGTTGATTTTTAGACTTTGTTTGCATATATTGCAAGTGTTAAAAAGCATATTAGCAAGAACCTATCTGCGTGTATACATTTAATGTTGGTATCCACGTACGCTTGGATCCCGTGTATGGAAGCCTCAAAAAAATATGTAAATTGTTTGGGGAAGAAGCGATCTCAGGAACCAGAAAAGCTGGAAAGCTGACATTTTAGACGAATGTTCCTTGTTCAATTA